GGGTAAAATGAGGACCCAGGTTGTGGGGGCAATATGCCGACTCTGTAAACCGCTTAGAGAGGGCTGAAAGCCCTATGAAGCGGTATATAAGTCTACTGCTATTGCTATTGCTATTTCCTTAGCCATGACACATATAGATATTCAAGTGATGGATACCTAAGAGGATATCTAAGGGGATTTTTTTTTAATGTATAGGACCAGGTGTGCCTATGGCAGATGTGGCTGCACAATCAAAACCTCACCTTTGTTTTAAAAAAAGTGAAGCAGAATTAGGCCGTAGCCAAAATCTAGATTTTTTTTTTCACCCTTCCTGAAGATTCTTCTTACAGCTCAGTAGGGTTGGCCTGGAGCAATGATTTTTATTGTAAAATAAAGGAAGGTGATATAACAAGCAACAAGTTGTAACAGATGCTCTTGCTAGAAAGTGTAGTGATTAAAATAAATTGTGTACCTTTCCGACTAACGGGTTTATTAAATTAATCATGGTAATTGGAGGACATTAGGAGTTCTAGTCAACAGGACATAGTTTCCAAGATAATATATGAAGATAATGATTCTTATTACTTTTTAATTGATGAAGTTATCACATTTCACTGTCAGTTGGTTTGTTTTAAAACATGTCATTTTCTAAGCGGTGTGCATGCTTCCTGACATGTTTGTTTTGTTGAGGTAACAGTAATTGAAATCACATTTAATCATAATTGTATTGTTCTAATTCCCTTCATCTGACAACACTAGAACATTAATCTCATCTTAGCACTGGCATGCATGCATGCACCTCAAGGATTCGTTTTGCTGAGAAAAAAAAATCAGCCACAGGCTTTTGATGCAATTCCTCATTTTCTTGAGCCACAGGCTGGATTCACCTATCACCTCTAAGCCTTTTGGTTTAGCAAATATGTGAACTATGTCCTTTGTGAATCATGATTTATGTCTTTGCATGATTATGAATTCAAATATATGCTGTTTACTCAATCAACTGATAAAGCAAACCATGGCTGTTTTGCCAGACAGTAGATGAGTCTGCTGCCTACTATTGGTCAGTATCCAGCATGCTATCGTACCCGTGACCCCACAAATGCGCGCACGACAAAAGCGTGCCAACAAAACCGTGGCGCGAAAACCGCAACATCATCAACGTGCCACAACAGCGTGTCGACAGAAGCGCGCCAACAGAAGCGCGATTTAAGTTAAGGTAAGGGTTAGGGTCAGGTTCAGGGTTAGGGTTAGGGTTAGAGCGCGCTGTTGTCGGCATACTTCAGTGTTCATTTGTCGGTGCAGTTTAGAACTCGCGGTTTTGTCACCGCAGTTTTGTCAGGCGCCCTTTTGTCGGTGAACCTATTGTATCTACATGGATGCTGCTTCCCAATTAGAATCAAACTGTGTTTTCTGAATATATTGCTACATACATTTGTTTTCCTTATTCAGAAGGAAGCAGAGAAGTATGTTGGAAGGAAACATACTTCTTTGTCTCCTTTCAAATTATGGTCATGCTGTTTGATCAGGAGCATCACTTTGAACAACAGTGAACGAGTTAAATCACTCCTAAATTAGGCCCTTTGATGTACACACACACACACACACACACACACACACACAAAATAGCAGATTAAGGTTCACTGGTGCCCTAAGCACTGACAAATCTTGGTGCCCCACCTTTGTACATATTGTACAAATCTTCATTGTAGGGGGTTATTTCTCAACTTTCTGGTGCCCCCTTGGGCCTGGTGCCCTAAGCACATGCTTAGTCTGCTTAATGGTTAATACACCACTGCACGCACACACACACAGAGAGACACACACAGACACACACACTTTATATTCAAAGTAATTTTCAGTTTGAACCTCTTATTTAGTGTCAGAAACAGAATTAGGAAGCAGAAGGTGTAGAAACAGACCTCGACATTTTCAAATCCACAACTTACTTTAGTTCAAATATGCATTTCTGACCCATGTTATCATTTCTTTCAATATATTTCTTCTTTAGTATTGTTGTGACAACCCATCTAAAATTGTGTGACTCAACCATGTGAACTTACACTGCATTTGGAAATAAGCAATTCAGAATTGGTTTCTCTCAGCTATCTGCTGTATCTATCTTCATCCTTTGTCCTTTAATTCCCTTAATGCATCTTAAACCTTTTTGTCATCAAGAAGAGGATGCCTTTGATGCCTGACAGTTTCTCCTAGTAGGTGGAGACATTATCCAGGCATGGGTATGACTCCGTCAAGATCCAATCGGACTAGGTCTACAAGCTTTAAAGGCACGCCCACAAGGCACCTCCTCCCAGCTTAGACTCAGTCGATCCTTGGATTAGCTGTGTCTGTGTATCTCTCCTTGCTAAATAATTCGATTTTAAACTTAATTCTTGCTAAAAAATTTCCAAATTTCTTCTAATTGGCTCCCTTTCCAAATTTAATTCAATTAGCTGTGGATTGTCACTTTGAAGGCTTTGTAGCCTTCCAAGAGGCTCTTGCCTTGGTCTCTCTTGGCCCAAACCATCACGGAGATCGTTAGCAGGTAGCCTACAAAGTTTTACCTCAGGCTTTTGTCAATTTGCTGATTGCTGCAGCCACGCCGCCCGAAGAGCCGATCGCTGCAGCTGTGCCACCAGAAGAGCCTGCGATTGTCACGATCTTCCCAGCTGAAGAGTCTTCGAATCACTGCAGCCGCCCAAAAGCCACTTGAGCTCAGGGCATTTCGGACTCCACCGCTCTTCCTTGCCGCCTCAGCAGCGTTCCTCCTTTTGACCTCAGAAGGTGCTTCTCCTTGCACAGGGGCCATAGTTGGGCGGTAAATTCCGTTGAGCATTCAGCCGCCTTGTCGGTTCACTCCCTCAGCCTCTCCTCAGGCCTGGTCTACTCCGGTGGCCATTCTCTTTGGGCGGGAAAAGAGTGGCAGTCATTTTGTGTGCTACCAACCAACCATGAGTAATGTCAGCCAACGAGGCCTCAACCCCTCAAGGGGATGTCCCATCTCCTCCAGCCATTGTTCCTCCTTCTCTGCCCTCTGAACCATGAAGCAAAAAGAGATCCTCTGCTTCTGAGCCACCATCAGCCAAGCCGGCTAAGGTCCCTAGGACTGTTCCATCTCAGGAAGCCTCAAGCATTACTACCTCTAGTTCGGACCGGGACAAGACCTCAGATTCTGTCACATGAAAGGCTACCTCTAAGACCAAGCATTGCACTGCTCCTCTCTCTGCCCCAGTGGTTTCTCCTGAAATAGTGGTCAATCCTCCTGAGGATCTCTCTACTGACACTGATGGGGATATTTCCACTCCTGCTTCCCCCTTGAACCCGCAGGATGGGATTGGGTTTCAAGAGGAGTATGATAGCATTGGGGATAGCATTGTCACCCCGGACGTAGATGTGGTCCAAATTCTGTATTCCACAGAACCCAGGAACTGGTGCTTCCCGACTTTTGTCCTCAACCATCTCATCGACTAGAGCATAAGCGGCATTACTTTGATGTGCGACATGCTCTGCACATTTATATTAAACAAACTGCTGTTTTCAGATGCTCTGAGGCTCTTTTCGTGAAATTCATGCCGGGAAGCAAGAAGGGCTCCAAGGCCTCTTCTTCTGACATTGGTCGTTGGGTACGAGCTGCTATTTCTAGAGCCTACTCCGCTCTCTCCCTGCCTGTTTCGCCCAATATCACGGCGCACTCCACCCACAGCGCAGCCACCTCTGCTGCCTGGTCATCTCAAGCTTCATTAGAGGAAATCTCCCGGGTAGCCACGTGGACTACTATATCTCCATTCATCCGTCACTACAGGCTTGACAGATATGGCTCAGCTGACGCTTCTTCGGCCGGCGCGTGTTGCATCGAGTGGTCTCTACTTAGGATTATTTAAATTCTATTCAGGTCCCTTCCGATGGGACAGATTGGGCTTTGGTATGTCCCATGCCTGGATGATGTCTCCACCTACTAGGAGAATGGGCATTGGTTACTTACCTGATACGCCCTTTCTCGGGACAGTGGAGACATCATCCAGCCTCACCCTTTATTTATGCCTTAATCCTTGAATTTTCTCTGTTCTTACCTTGAGGAGAGATAATATCTATCATCTGAAACTGTTTACACAGCGGTGTACAAGTCACGCCTTCGTCTAAGCTGGGAGGAGGAGCCTCATGGGCGTGCCTTTAAAGCTTGTAGACCCAATCCGATTGGATCCTGACGGAGTCATACCCATGCCTGGATGGTGTATCCAACGTCCCGAGATAGGGCGTATCAGGTAAGTAGCCAATGCCCATTTTCAGAACCATTGATTAGCCTTCCCATTTTCTGGCAGTAGAAGATGGAATTTGTTTTCAAATCCTGCTTTTTCACAAAACCACTTCGTATCTCAAAGAAATTATAGCTCTTACAAGTGTCTGATTAGAGCTTCATAATGTGGATGACTATAAAGATGCACCATTGTCTATAAGCTTTCTCTTGATTTCATTGAGGACATCTGAAACTTTTTTTTTTCAGAATTGCTTATACAATTTCATAAGGTGAAATCTATTCATATAATTAACTTCAAAACTGGACTTCAGTCTTAGGGAACTGCCAGAAGGGCCTTTTTGTTTTCCTCAGAAACAACTATTTTTAAGGCCACAGATCCACCCAGAACTACCATATCTTTATGAACTTCCTCTATGTCTATCAAAATGGAAATCTAATATTCCCAAGGGAAAATAAACAATACTATTTATATCTCAGAGAAGCAACTTCCCCGCCTGTTTTCGTTTTAAAAAATTTCCACATGAACCACTATTTTCCATATAGTCCACTGATCATGTAGAGCAGCCTTTTCCAATTTAGCACAGTCCAGAAGTGCTGGGATTGTCACTCGCAGAACTTTCACCCAGTGTGAACGTGAAATACCTCAGGAAGGTGCCAGATCAAGGAAAGTTGATGTAGATTAAAAAAAATAAAAATAAAAGGAAAGCTGATGTAGGTAGTCTCTGTACTAGTGCAAACTTAAATTCAGATCCCTATGCCCATGCTGTGGTTATATTTTGCTAAACCATCATGTTTTTATGGTGTATCGGGAACTTATGCAGCGTGTGAACCAACTCAATACAATATCCGAATAACCTTGAATTTTTTCAGCAACCTTCACATTAAAAGCATGCAATGGCTACATCATTCTGTAATTATCCATTCCTTGGTAAACTAAGCACAGATACTTGAACTTAAATTTCCTGTGTCTAAACAAAAGCTATATTTTACCCTCTACTCTTTTGGCAGTTCATTGCTGCTGCAATCTCAGGTTGCAAGTCAGATCATAATACGCCCTGTGCTCAGCACTTTTAAGGATATCCTAAACTTACCGCAAAGTTGTTCAATTCCCTGCCAATTCCCCATTAAACTTATTTTCAAGTACTAACAAAAAGAATCCACTGTTTTCCCCTTTCACTGTACCTTCCTGTCTTCGAAGCCACTTTAATCCAAATTAGGCAAAATTAATGCCAGGAAATGGTTAAATATACCTAGTCGACCTCTGCTCCTCTCCATTGGGAATTTTCTATGTATAGGAAGTATGCAGAATATTGCTTAAATTTCCTGCATGGGAAAAATACTTTAAACTGTTCTTTGTGGAAAGAGTCTAACAAAACATTAACAGTGTTTAAATATATTTTAGACTGTGTTTGTTAAAAAGCTACACCGTGTACGGGCTCTGGGAAGTCGGGAGGGGGAGGGAGGTGGGGT